TTTCTTTATCAAAACATTTGCTTACTCGGTTGATCTGTGACAATTTGGACATGCAAGAGGAGACTAATTCGGTGATATGGCAATCGTATGACATGTTGATGTCCCTTATTAATCCTAAATCCTTGGCTGAAGGAACTGGCCTGATAGTTTCACCTAGAAAATTTAGGCACATATCTGTAGGGAGATTTTGTAACTGTTGTCGCGTTCAGATAAGTAAATACTTGGTTTTCTTTGGGTTAATAAGTAGATGAAGTTCAGAGCAGCACTTTGCTACTTTGCGAAGAGTGCTGTCTTGTTGTGCTGTCGGGTTTTGCTCTTACGAAAGCTGCAGTTAAACTACCAACTTTACATTTTCCGGCCCTTTATGTAATAACATTGTAGTCGGAATCTTACCTGTACATTATCAAATCTAAAGAAATAAAGCAAATCATAGTTCAAAGTCTTTCAGCACATACTTTACGTCTTGGTTCTTGGTTTTGCCATAGTTAATAGAATAGTTGGTTTGGAAACTTCTTAGAATAACAATATAAACTCATTACCTATGTCAGTCAACGTTTATTCATAAATCTGGTCTTTAGCCGTCGCATGCGTATTGTATTTTTGCTCGACCAGCCAATAGCAATGTTTTAGCAAAGTTACCTATCCGTGACTCGAACAGCAGGGTAATTGAAAATTGCTATTGGTGGATTTGGCAAAAATGCAATACACACGTTTCGGTGAAGAACATATTTATGAATAAACGTTCACTAACATACATAATGAATTATATTGTTATTATAATGAGTTTCAAACCATCTATTCTATTAACAATGGTTTTGCCGTGCGATAATGGTAATGACCTACCCTCCCCGAGTCGCATAATTTAGCACCTAAAATCTAGGTGCCACGTGAACAGCCTGTGCAGGGTTTTCCCTGCAGCTGGTTTTCAGGGGATAGCAGAAGTTAAAACTCTGAGTGTCAGGTTGATATGAGGTATCCTAACAAGATGCCTCACTCATCAAAATTTAATGTGTCGGGAATTTTAGACGGCATAATTACAGACGGCAACGCTGGCAGAAATACTCGAAGGAATTTTTCACTTAATAAAGCAAACGGTAAGTTAATTTGTGTTATTTTAATCGATATTTGTGTTTATAATTTGTGAATCCGTCATTCAGTGGCGCCGCCAGCTCGATAATTGGGGGGGGGCGAATATTCATATATTTGTGTTCACAGACCATAAAAACAATCGATTTCAAAAGAGAAGTTAATAATGCAGAACACGAAGATATGAATATTCGCCCCCCCAATTATCGAGCTGTTGGCGCCACTGCTGTCATTTATAATTATAAAAAACATTGCTTTAATGTTTGCTCTGGACTAATAATTCTAGCAAATAAGCAAACACTTAGACGAATAAAATTGCTTTTATATACATACACAACATTTAGTCAAAGTTTAAAGCCAATTTATTAAATATTTACGTCGCTTTGGGTGGTCTTTAAAACCATTGGATTAAATTAATCTCATAATTTGCCTTTAAGCCTATCCGTTATGGTAATACTATGTTTGGCTATTTTTTGAAGTATTTAAAATGTGTGCTTAATTTAACCAAATCATAGCCTATCGAAGCGGGGAAGATGGCTGTGAAACTCATTAGAATAACAATATACCTCATTATCTATGTCATACAGTACTGTATATTATAGTCAACGTTTCTTCATAAATATGGTCCCTCATCGCCACGTGTGTATTGTATTTTTGCCAAATCCATCAACAGCAATTGCCAATTTACCACATTGTTCGAGTCATGGATAGGGGACTTCCCTAAAACATTGCTATTGGTCACTGGCCAAAAATACAATACGCACATGACGTCGAAGGACCAGAATTATGAATAAACGTCGACTAACATAGATAATGAGTTATATTGTTATTCGAATGATTTTACAGCCAGCCAAAACATTAATAAATTAAAGGCGATTAAATACTTCTCCAAAGTTCCAAACCGCTCTAATAGGTCTTTAATCGTATAAATTAAATACACTTAGCAATTTTTAGCCAAGTTTAAACGTTTAGTCTTTAACTGATTTATAGCATGAAATCCGATGTCGTTCATAAAAGATTTGGCAATGAAAGATTTGTCAGAAGAACGACAGAAGTTTAATTTTAATTTAACGTGCATACTTACAAATCGGCATAGGCTTGTAATAACACAAAAGTTAATGATGCGATGTTCATGGATAAATCATTCTTTGTGATGTATTTGTGTAATTCGCTCTCAAATTTTAAAAGAAAAATCGCTACCTATAGCTTATAAAGAAAACCACATCATTGTAAATAGCAAACTTTTTGTATATATTTTAATAATTTTATATTCTGCATGTTAATACTTCCTTATTATTTTACATGTAACAATTTGTTAATGTTTTTTACACGCCCATGGTGGAAACCAGCTTCTGCTGACAATGTTAGCGTGGTTAAATAAAGTTTATCATCATCATCATCATCATCATCTTTGTTAGCCATTATATTGATCACTTCACTTGAATCTTGAGAGAAACCGGACCTGATGAGGTTGCAATATTCTTAAGTAATCAGTTCTAAGACTTTTGTTTTTAATCTTTCTAGAGATTAAAACGTTTAAATCGCCTAATTAAATTAAGTAAGCTCATCTTGGTTTACCTGTAAGAGAAGCTGCCAGCCAATATACGTTTTGCTGTTCCCATTTCATGCCATTCCATGCATATGCACAGCATAAGAAATCGGTCTGACGATTTTGTCGATTTACTTCAATCCATATATAGGCATTCATTCTCCACATTAAAAGCTACTTTCGAAGACAGAATTGAATGCATCGCATAATAATTTTCATTCAATTTCTAATTTTGTACTAATAACTGCTTCATTGGCTTTGTGAATATTAGTGAAATTATAGAAATTATATATGTTTTAGTAAATAAAGGAAACAAATGTTCAGCTTAAGTCTTGTAATGAATGAAATAAAAAATTAAGAAACACGCATGATTTAAAAATTTAAAGAAAAGTCAATCCCACTTACCAATAATAGTAAACTCATAATGACGTCAAAATGTTTCCTATTCCAACCTGGTCAGCAATATGAACTCATTCATGACTTGAACTGAACTTAAACCTGTACATATTTAAATGTAGGCGACAGTTGATGACAAATCTATAAACTGCCATATCTTGGTGGTGTTATTCTGTGAGTTGTTGGTCATTCATGATCAGTTCTTATACAGCTGCCATCAATGGTTTTTCACCTTTTTGTCATCAATGGGTTTTTACCTTCAATTTGTTATCAATCGCCATTTTTTCTAGAATGAAGTAAATTGGCCAACGTTTTCCCCCGTTGGCTAAGTGGCATTTCCGGAGATAAAATCGTGACAGAATAACATTCAAAACCTGCATGCCAACGTATATGTATTGTACATGTTTTCTAAGAAAGACTGAGTAAGCTATATTTTACATGATACGATGATAGCGAAAAAGCTTACGTAATTATTATAAAATAGCGCTGTGTATAAAAAGATTTTATACATATTTTTGCCGGATAAGATGATACGATAATACGCGATGAAAAAAATTATGTAATTATTATAAAGTGGCTCTATCTAGGAAAGACTGAGTAAGCTATATTACACTTTGTTCGAAAGTATTCGTTTCCATCCTTCGGTCTTCTTTCTTCAACAATGAACCTGGTGGGGATTCCATATAATACAAAATACTTCCCTTCTTCGAATACCTTCGCTTCTTCGCCACTCTCGATTCAAGTTAACGACACGGCGCTGACTCCTAGATCGAATAGTTTTTTCACTTGATCTCGCATTAAATTTATCAATGGCGAAACCACAATTACTAAATGTTTACCACCAAATATTTCATCGAATAGCTTAATTTGCTAGTCTTGATAAACAAGTGATTTTCCTGCGCCAGTTTAGGGATTTACGAAAACATTCTTCTTTTCGTTTATCCCCGAGCCAACGGCGC